CTGAGGAAGGGTCACCTGACCCGAAACATTAACTCTGTTTTTTTCCTTCACAGATGCTGCCAGACCTGCTGAGTTTTTCCAGCAACTTTGTTTTTGTACCATCATTTTACAGTTCCCTTTTCTATCACATTTATAGACTTGGTTTGCTTGCTTTTTTAACTTCTCAGTCTTGTGAGCTTGATAGCCTTTTCCTTATTATTCATACATCTCATCTTAAACTTTATTGGCTTCAGGGTTCTAACTAAATACTTCAGTTCTGGAATTTTCAAACTAAAACCCTTACACTGAAGTAACCTTTTTCCAAACTGTTCTGAACTAACTCCTTTCTCCTGGAGAAACTATTCTTATATCTGAACCATGTCTTCTGCAAAGTGAATCGAAAGCTTTCATCCAATCTATGGGATTTTCCATGGCAAAAATCAATTTATAAATCGCCTAAACCAATAGTAAACTAATGCCTATCAATGAGATAGTAAGAACTGCTGATACTGTAGCTGGAGGAACACAGCAGGCCAGGCAGCATCAGAGGAGCAGGAAAGCTGACGTTTTGGGTCAGGACCCTTCTTCTGAAGAATGCTCCTCTGATGCTGCCTGGCCTGCTGTGTTCCTCCAGCTCCACACTGTGTAATCTTATAAATCCTTATCAATGTTTGCTTTATCTGACTATAAAAATTTCACTTTGTAAGCAAGCTCACATTATCATTCCGGGTGTGCCATTTGGCAAGATCCTCTTTGAGACATAATACTTTAAATTTATGGCTCCAGAAAGGCTAACAATTAGCAATTAAACCCCTTCATACACACAGACCAAAATCCACATGCCACAAGTTCAAAACCCAAACCCTAAGATAAATGCCATTTATATACAGATGGATTGCATCCCTCACATCTTCGTAGAGGATACTGCATAAAGCATATTAACATGAAGTGGAGTGTGAATCATCAATTGATAATTTTCAGGTTAGCAGGATGTAATGTTATTATGAATGTTATGCCACAGGAATCAGTGTTGGGAGCCCAACTCCTTACAATTTATAAAAAGTGACTTAGGTAAAGGAATAGAAGGTATGGTTGCTAAATTTGTTGATTATACAGATAGTAGGAAAGTAAGTTATGAAGGGGAAATAAGATATTAAAAAATTAAGTGAGCAAGATCTGGAAAATTAGCATAATGTGGAAAAAGTAAAGGCCATTGTTGCAGGCAGAATAAAAGTATATTATCTAAATGGAAACAGATGGCAGAGCTCTGAGATGCAGAGGGATCAATCTGTGCTCGTTGTGAATTGTAAAAGTCTTGTGTGCAGGCACAGCAAGTAATAAAGGATGCTAACAGAAATTAACTATTTATTGTGAGGGAAAATGAATACAAAGTTAGGGAGTTTATGATTCTGTTATACAATCTAGTGGCGTTCTATGTACAGTCTTGGTCATTTTATTTAAGGAAGAATGTAAATGTGTTGAAACCAGTTCGTAGGTTTACTAGACAAATGCCTGAAACTGGGAAGGCTGTCTTATGAGAAAGGCTACACAGGCTGGACTTGAATCTTTTGGAATTTAGAAGTGTAAGAAGCAACTTGATTGAAATACGTTAAGTTCTTGAACAGTCTTGACAGGATAGATATGGCAGGATGATTTCCCTTTTGGGAGAATGTAGAACTGGGGGTTACTATTTAAAACAGAGCTGATGTAAACAAAATTCTCACAGGTTTATATGTCCTTGGAACTCTCTTGCTGAAAAGGCAGTCTTTGCATATTTTTAAGGCAGAGGTGAATAGATTCTCAGTAATCTAGGGTTGAAAGGTATTCAGGTGGTCAGGAATCTGGATTTGACAATATGATCATAAAAGCAACAATCTTAGTAAATGGCAGAGCAGCCTGAGGAGACAAAAGGTCTCCTTCTTCTCTTTGTACGTTTGTGTGTAACCAAACTTTCTGCTTACATGCCCTCAGATGTTTATTACTTCTCCATTCCAAACAATCTAACCAAAGACATTTGGACAGGTACATGAATAGAAAAGTTTAGAGGGAAAAGGGCCAAATGCAGGCAAATGAGACTAATTCAATTTAGGATGAGTTGGACCAAAGGGTCTGTTTCCATGCTGTATGACTATATGATTCTATTCCCTTCATTATTTTCAAAACATGAATCAAATTTATGTTAAACCAACATTTTAAAATGAAAATAGCCCCCAGTTCCCAGATTCTATTTGATAGCATTGGTCCAAAGACAGGGATTCTTTTTAGTTACATTTCTCTCTTGCTGCTGTAGGATATAAATACTCATTGCCAAATTTGGGGGACCACAGTTGGATGCGGTAGTCCAAATTTTACCTAGAGGTTCTTAGGACATTTTTTCAATCTAGACTATTCACTAATTACACGGATGTGTTGTGTACTCATTGCAGAACCTGCCTGATTATCATTCCATTTAAATCAATGGGATGAAAGTCTGGGTGGATTCTATAACAAATGCACAACTGCTTCTCCAAATTATTACCCAAAGTAGTCAAGATGATCACTTCCCTGTCCGTTTAAGTTGACCTACTTGAAATTAATTTAGTTTTGTCTACACAAGTTGGAAAACGACAGAACAAAGCTCCCATATTTTGGCCAGCACAAATTCACAATTTCACCCAGAAAGACCCTAATGATTATTTCTAAAGGGCATGGAACAAAATTACATTATTGCAATAGTGAGTGCTCTTCTGAAATTGCCATTAGACCACATTTTTTGAGAGTCTCTGATTGGGAAAAATTTCAAGTGGAAAAATGGTGAAGCAAGATTTTCCTTTATGCGGTTCACATTTACATTTGTGCATAATTTAGAGACTTGCTACAGTTTAAAAGATAAAGATGGCAGCAATTTTGAAAGTAACATGTTTGCCCAGCAAGTAGACATTAATTTTAACTTCTCTTTTTCCTCATCTAGATGTACTGGAAAAAGTGGAGGAAATATAAATGCTGACCTTTCTGCATAATAGTCCTGTTAGTACCTCAGAGCATATTCTGTCATTCACTCTTTCATCTCAAGTACCACTAGTGACATCTATCTACCTGAAGGAATTTTTTGAAGTATGCATCGTTGGATACATAAAGCTTGCATGGCAAATGAAGAGAAAAAAATTGTTGACTTGAAGAGGTGCCAATGGCTTTAAGCCTTAAACCAGCAAAATCAACATCCAAGCTTACACACAAAAGTAATGCATGAAATTAGTCCTCGAGCATCATCAGGATGCAACCAGCACATGATTCGGTGGGTGTTTCCCAATTCTGCCCAAGAGGCAATATGGTGGTCGTAAAGATTTCAAAACACTGTGATGATCATGTTTATCGTGGGTCCTCTGGAGAAGACTAGATTACAAACCAAACATATCATATTGAAACCTTCATGCGTATTTTACCCCTTCACAATCTTCCCACCAGCTGCCAAAATAAGGCACTGCATGATTCAATTTTTAGGCCAACATGTAGGTTTTGTGATGAATGCACCAAATCATGTTAGGTCATCCTTTCTGTCAATTCACTTGAATTATTGTTAATGTCAGTTCAATGTTTCTATGTTTTTATGTTTATGTTTCCATGTTCAAAAGGCTCCTGGCATCACCCAAGACTGAAGGAAGCTGCATGTGATTAAAGATTTCATTTTCATTTTGTGCACTATGGAATTTCTTTTAATTCATTCGTGGGGTGCGGGCATCACTGTCTGGCTGGCCAACATTTATTGCTGATTCCTAGTTGCCCTTGAGAAGTGGTGGTGAGCTACCTTCCTATACCACTGCAATCCATGTGCTGTAGTTAGACACACAATACCCTTAAGGTGGAAATTCGAGGAATTTGACCCAACGGCAGTGAAAGAACGTGGATATATTTCCAAGTCAGGATGTAGAGTGGCTTGGAAGGGAACTTGCAGGTGTTAGTGTTCCCATGTATCTGTTGCCCTTGTCCTTCTAAATGTAAACGGTCATGGATTTGGAAATGAGCTGTCTAAGGATCTTTGGTGAATTTCTGCAGTGCATATAGTAGATAGTACACACTGCTGCACTTGAGGGTCAGTAGTGAAGGGAATGGATGTTTGTGGATGTGGTGCCAATAAAGCAGGCCATTTTATCCTTGATGGTGTCAAGCTTTTTGATCGTTGTTGAAGCTGCACTCATCTAGGCAGGTGGGGATTATTCCATTACACTCTGACTTAATATTATTTTTTGTTTTCTTCCTTATCTTTCTGTCCATTTATATTGTCTTAACTGTTGCAGTACCACACACAAATTTAAAATAGGGAGCATAAGAAATTTCTTTGGCTCCTCAAGCCATACAATAAGAGCATAGCTGATCTGATTGCTCCATATTTCTACCTACCTGAAATGATCTTTCATCCGCTTATCAAGAATCTATCTACCTATCCCTTAAACATTTTCAAAGCCTTCATCTGTCTGTTAAGGGAGAGAAAAAAACATTCTCGTCATCTCTATCTTAAAATTGCGATTCCCTCCTTTTAAACAGCAATTTTAATGGTTTGGTTTATTCTCTTTTCTAATATTGAAGATGTCCCTAATGATAATCCCAATCACTTTGACAGGGATGCCACAGATGTATTTTATCATCACCCTGTGGGCCAATATTGACACAGCCTTGAATCAAATTAGTGTTTAGTATTAGCAATATCCACAAAATCATGCAATTCCTTGATCATGCATTTTAATGGGAAGTATTAATCTTTTTAAAAGGATGCTACGTCTCTAATAAAACAACAAATTGAGGCATTTTTGTTTAATTTAGTGAATATTTTGTACTCTAGTACGGCACAAAAAGAGAAATTTGCAGACTGCCATTCTCTACATGTTTTAAACGTTGTCATCATATTGAATACGCTAACAAATTCCCACTCCCGGTATTACCTTCCCTTGAAGAAGTGTGACCTGTCCAAAAGCTGAAGACAGGCTAGGCGCGCGGCGATTTGAATTCAGCCCGCGAGGCTATGCACGTGCCGAGGTTTAACGGCTTCGAATAGCGCGAGATAACGTATTCTACTTGCCCGCCCGTGCGCAACCCTCGAGAAGCTTCCATCCATTCACAAGGAAGGCTGAAAGTGAGTTGGTTGACAGCAATTGCAATAAGTTATCTTTGCACCACTGTAGGGAGAGAGAAAATGTGTGTGTGTGTATTTTGTAGCGCCACGATGTTAGAAATATGTTTGTGATTTGTAACCAGATTCATAGGAAGCAACTGCTCAGTTCAAAGGAATTATTCATTTAATCCCCAGGGGGTGCAGATAGGGTTATTTAGCGCTTTGAGAGTGCATTGCAATGTGTATAATTAGTGGAAAACTTATTCGGAGAAGAAAACCCTCAAGAGGGAAAAGCAGATTTTAAAAGACGAGGATTAAAAGTGGAAAGAAAAGGGAATGAGGTGCTATCAGGGTGCGTGAACGCAATATTCTTCATTGTACTCCATACCAGGGTGCAAGACACAAAACCGTTCTGCCCGGTGGAACTATCGACGATAACTGTATTTATAAAGTACTGCATGGATAACAACATTTATAACATTCCAGAAAGCGGACAGTGAACTGTGGACCTGTGTTTATTATTTGTCAATTTTGAACAAAACAACATTTTGTTCATTTCGTAAATGATTCTGAGATCAATTTTATTGAATAACCTCTCACTCATCAATTAACTGCCAAGCCTGGGAAGGTCAAGTCATCGTGATTTTTGTTTATTTTAAAGGCATCAAGGGGAATGGGAGAAAATTGGAGAATGGCATCGAGATAGATTAGCCTTGATCATATTGAATGGTGGGGAAGGTTCAAAGAGCCGAATGGCTTATTCCTGCTTCTGTGTCTATGTTTCTCTCATTGTGTCCTGCCCGGAGACTAAACATACTTGTAGTTTTAGACAGAACAAGTATTTCTTGATCCAATTCGATATGATATAGTTATTGAATTGAACTTTTAATTCTGCTTAAACTTTTACAATTACATTCACCCATTAAACATGAATAGAAATTCCATGCCTTTTCCCCCATTTTCTTACACATTTTTCATGGGATGGGGTATTAGTGGCTGGGCCAGCATTAATTGTCTATGCCTAATCACCCAGCGAGCAATTCAGAGTAAACTACAATGGATCCACATGTAGGATATTAGTGAATTAAATGGGTTTTTAATGACAATCAACAGTGATTACATGGTCACCATTAGACCAGCTTTATTAAAAGTGGAATTTAAATATCACCATCTGCTGTGATGTGAATCAACCCCATGTCCCCAAGACATTAATCTGGAGTTATGGATCACTGGTTCAGTGACATCACCAATACACTAACAGCTCCCATATACTATACTGATGTGGGTCAGTAGATAGTCAGTGGATAATTACTTGTAGTTTTGTTGTGGAAAGTTTATTTTTACACCACATCCTCTACAAACCAAACCCCTCCCCAAGTCTTACATTTCCCAAAATGCTTTTAGCAGAGATTTTTCATTTATGGTAATGTATGCAATTTGGAACTCAATAATATTTTTCTCCTTTGACCATAAGACCGTAAAAAGTAGGAACAGCAGTAGGCTGTTTGAGCTTTGAGCATGCACTATCATTCCATAGGATTATGGCTGATCCTTTGCTATTCCTGCATTAGATGCTGATTTTTGTTCAAATTGGATGCCTTTCTCTTCCACTACCTCCCCTATCCAACAAGATGTTTCAGCAATGTCCTTTTAATATATTTATAACATTGTGGTGTATCTTATATTATCCCTTTCTGGACGAGCTTAGTCAAATCTGAAGATAGATTCAACACAGATCTTTGGGGACTACTTTTTCTTACTGCTGCTACGTGGTAACTATTACAGACTAACTAACATGGCTGCTGCATCACATGATACTAAATCATTTCCTGTGATTACTTAATAATTAAATGACCATACTTTTTTTTTATATTATCTACTCCATTATCAACAATGAGAATGCTCTATTGCCATCACTCTGCTCCATTCATCACTTCTGTTATTATTGATGCCAAATTGCTCTCTTCCTGGATTGCTGGCAGTTTTTACAGATGAATATCTGGAATGTAAAGGTGTATAGAACTCCAAGATAAATCAATCAATTATTGTTTTCCCCTCCCTCACTTATTCTCTCCCTATTTATCTCTCTGATCTCACCGTCCTCTATTTCCATCTCCTCCATTCATCCTCACCTCTGACTGCTCACTGTCTAACTTCTTACTCTCAATGTTCCACCAATCCGGTTCCTTCCATTCATTCCTCAACCCTTTCTTCCACTCCTGACCAACTCCCCTTTCGCCATTCCTCCACAGTCGTATCTTTTCCCTATTTTTCTCTGCTTCTCTTTGTCAAAAGAAAAAGATATTAGGATGAATTAGCAACAATTTGGTCAAATAAGTGGCTTCAATGAGAATTTTACGGAAATGGGGAGAGGAGACAAATTCATATTTTCCCACATTATACTTCTTTTGCAACATCTTTGCCCATTTACTTAACCTATCAATATATTTTTGTAACCTCCTTGAGTTCTGTTCACAACTTACTTTCCCACCTATCTTTGTGTCCTCAGCAAAGTTGGCAACTACACTTTTCATTCCTTTTTCAAAGTCATTTATACAAATTGTACCAGTACTGATTCCTGTGGCTCAGCATTTGTTACATCTTGTCAATCACACAGTTATCTATTTATGTCTACTTTGTTAGCTAGCTCATTTTTTGTCTGCCAATATGTTACACCGTGAGCTTTTATTCTCCACAATAACTGATGTGGCATTTTATCAAATGCCTTCTAATGTATTTCCTGTGACAGATATTAAACTAACTGGCTGGTTGTTTCCTTTTTTAAGTCTCCCTCCTTTTTTGATTAAGAAGTTACATTAGCTACTTTCCAATCTTATGAATCACCCCGAAACTTAGGGAATTTTGGAAAATTAAAACCAACTCATCAGCTATCTCACTCATCAATTCATGTATAAGATCCTAGCATAATGTCTATCAGATCCCAGGCACTTGTCAGCCCACAAATCCAAAAATCTGTTCTGTAGCACTTCACTGATGATTGTGATTTTCCTGACTTCCTCTCTCCCTTCCATTTCCTGCTTTATCATTACTTCTGGGATGATACTTGTCTCTTCTATTGTAAAGACTGATGGCCTGCTTCCAGACTGTAGGGATCCTATGACTCTATAAAATCTTTTTCAATTCATCTGCCATTTCCTCATTTTTCATAATTAGTTCTCCATTGTACCTTCTTTCGTACCAATGCACACCTTGTTAACTCTGTCCTTTATATTTCTGACTAGCTTTCGTTATACACTAATTTTTCCCTTTTTGTTAATGTTTTAGGCATTTACTGGTTTCATATTTATAAGGCTGGCTCAGTGTTTAGCACTGTTAGTGCCAGGATCCTGGGTTGGATTCTAGCTATGCGCGACTGTCTACGTGGAGTTTGCACATTCTCCCCGTGTCTGCGAGGGTTTCCTCCTACAGCCCAAAGATGTGCAGGTTAGGTGGATTGGCCAAGCCAAATTGCCCACAGTGTGATTGCTAGGTGGATTAGTCATGGGAAATGCAGGATTGTAGGGATGGTATGCCCTTCAGGGGATCAGAATGGGCCAAATAGCCTGCTTCCACTATAGGGATTCTATGATATTCTGTCAAATCTGTTAACTTGCCATCTGTCTTTGCTCAATTATATTGTTTTTCTTTAAGTTCGATAACATTGCAAGTTAACCATGAATGCTTGATCTGTCCCTGGAAATATTTCTTACTCTCTGTAATGTATCTATTTTGTATATTCTAAAATAGCCCCTTAAATGTCTGCTACTGTATCTCTATTGACCTATGCTCTAACCAGTTCTGGTGAGAAGATGAAGAGTCACCGGACTCAAAGCGTTAACTCTGCTTTCTTCCCACAGATACTGCCAAATCTGCTGTGTTTTATCAGCAATTTCTGTTTTGGTTATGCTCTAACCTAATTTGCCAGTTCACTTCAACCAAATCTGCTTTCATGTCTCATAATCACTCTTATTTAAATTTTAAAAAAGTAGTCTCAGGCTGACTCTTCTCTCACTCAACTGAATGCAAAACTCATCCATATTATACTTTCTGCCCTCACTAGGAGATCATTAATTAATTTCATGTAATTATACACTACCAGGTCTGGTATAGTTTGCTCTCTAGCAGACTTCAGAACATGTTGATCTAAGAAACTGTCCTGAAAACATTCTACGAATTCTTCATCTATGCAGGTCACTTTAAGGTTCAAACAAATCAGGTCGTGAGGTGATTGGACTTTGTATTTAAGAGCTAAGTTTGTCACCCCCGCAACCCTATCTCTCCCTCACCTTTGATGGTCTGCATTGCCCTTAACGGGCTTTGCAAGAAAATTGATGAATTAATGAAAATATGGGTGATTTACGGGTGCTGGTTAATAAATGAGAAAAAATACCATGAATGATTTGGTGATGGGAAAAAAGAGACGTTCAGTAATATACAAAAGCACTTCGGGATATAAAAAAGTGCTGAGTCTGCCTCCACTTCTCCTTACTTGTCCCTCACCTTTGATGGTCTGCATTGTCCTTAATGGGCTTTGCATGTAAATTAATCATTTGGAGAACATTGGTTAGTTACTAGTGAACAAGGAACAGGCCCTTTGGCTCTTCAAGCCTGTGCCGTGCCGAGCCGATACATTTGGCCCTTCCATTGCCCTCTATTCCCTTCCTATTCATGTATTCGTCCAGATGCTTCTTGACTGCTGCTGTAGTGAAAGAACAAAGAACAGGGTTAATAGGTGAGAAAATACCATAGGTCATTTGATGAGGCACAAACAAAATGCTCAACTTGTAACAGCACTTCTGGATATAAACAAGGAAAAAAAATTGAGCTCATGGTGCAAGGGTGGTGCTCCAGAGGCATGTTGTTGCATTGCTGAAAATTTCGCTTTAAAAGAAAATTACGTGAGCTGAACTTTGTGGCTACGCAGGAATTAAAGAGAAAATGCTTAGTTCATGTTTGTAAGTGATGCCAACAGCATGGGCTCAGTTCCTATGCTGACTGGGATTATCATGAAGGACTCTGTTTCTCAACTTCTCCCCTTGCTTGAGGTGTGATGATTGTCAGGTTAAACCACTACCAGGTGTTTCTCTGTCTCATTCTCTCTAATGAAAGTGGGAGAATAACCCTAAAGCCTGGTTGGATTATGTTAATTTTTACACAAAACCCAACAGCTTTTCCCACCATCAAATCACCCAGAGGGTGGTGAGCCTATGGAATTCAGTACCATAGAAAGTGTTTGAGGCCAAAACAATGTTTTCAAGAAGAAGGTAGATATAGCTTTTGTGGCTAAAGGGATCAAGGGATATGGGGGTGCATTGTTATATGTATTAATCCAAGCTCTAAGATCATCTCTCTTACCTGTCATGTTCCTCGCATTGAAACAACTGCATTTCAGAACACTAGCCCCACCATGTTTAGTAACTTCCTTCTGTCTGTTCTTCCACTTAGTCTTATTGGCCCTCCTTGGTTATTTTACTTGCTGACCTACTACTTCAGTTTCTGGCCCCATGACACTAGTTTAAACCATTCTGAGTAGCACTGGCAAACCTCCCTGCCAGGATATTGGTGCCCCTCCAGTTTAGTTGCAACCTGTCCTTTCTGTACAGGTCCCATATACCCTGGAAGACATCTCAATGATCCACTTACCTGAAGTCGTTCCTCCTATGCCAGCTCTTTAACCAGTATTTAGCTGTACTAGGTTCCAGTTCCTAGCCTGACTGGCCTGTGGCACAGGAAGTAATCCCGAGATTGTAACCCTCGAGGTCCTGCCTTTCACCTTCCACCTAACTTCCTGAACTTCATTTGCAGGACCTCATCTCTCTTTCTGCCTGTGTTGTTGGTACAAATATGGACCAAGTTCACTGGCTGCTCAACCTATCCCTTCAGAAGGAAGAACATAAACCCATTGGCAATCTCAGATTTACTAAATTGATACGTGGAATGAGTGAGTTGTCTTATGAGAATGGGTTGGACAGGCTATGATTGTTCCATTGGAGATTGAGAATTTAACTGCTCGTAAATAGATGCTATTGAAGTTGGTGTCAGATTCACAATAACAAAAAAGGCAAATGCTTACAATTTCAGTTGTCATTACTACCAAAAGTTGTGGATTTTTGGACAGCACATCAAAGGCTTGGTCAACTAAGAAGGTTTAAAGTAATATAAGAGTGAAAACATAGGTGAAGAGGCTTATGGAAGAGTTTCTAGAACTTAAAGCCTAGACACAGCCATAAACTATAGAGTGATTAAATCAGGGGTATCCAAGATTACAGTTGAGGTGTGTAGACTTGTAGGGCTTGAAGAAATTACAAATGTTGGGAAGGGCAAGGCTTGGAAGAAATTGAAAGCAACAATAAGAATTTTAAAACGGAGGTTTTGTGAAACTGGGAACCAATGCAAGTCAACAGGGGTGATGACTGAATTGGGCTTGGAGTGGCATTATGAATGTGTTCAAATTTTTAGAAAGTAAAAAATAGGACGCAAATCAAAAGACCATTGGATTAGTCAACTCAAGAGACAACAGGGATGCATAGATGAGGGTTTCAGCAACACTTCAGTTTAGTCAGGGATGGAGATCGATGCAGTTTTGCGGAGGCAGTTTTAGAGATGGACCAACCTCATCTCAGGCTCTAATAGAATGCCAAATTTATGATGCATCTGGTTTACACTAGATGGTGGCAAGGAAGACAGAGGAGCCAGTGGCTACAAATAGAGCTGAGTACTTAAGTCATCCCATTATTTGGTTTGAGAAATTTCTGATAACCTAGTACTTTGTACTAGCTGCAGGAACATAAACTTGATTATTGGCATCGAACAAGTAATGTGACAATACAGACAGAGTAGAAGTCGCGAGTTAGCGTTAAAGTAGTATAAGTGTACATGTAGAACATGATATTCTTTTGGATGATGTTACTGAATGGCAGCATATGAATAAGAACTAGGAGAGGATAGATCCTTGGTGGCTGATAGTGCAAAAATGAAGTAGAAGTCTATGTAGATAATTTTGCCCTTATAAGTAGATATAGAATCAAGGAAGGGCTAATGATGGAGGAGAGGCTTGGTAGAAGATTGTGTTGTCAACTGTGTTGATATGTTGAGAAGGATGAGAAAGGGTAATTTAAAGTGATTTTATAAAGGATGTCATTTTCACTTCTAAAGGCCAAGTTCAGGGATGAAAACATAAATGAAGAGATTCAAACACGGAGTTGTGGGGAAGATGAGCATGAATTTGGGAAGTGTCAACATGTTTAAACATTTTGGAGAGGAAAGCAACAATGGAGATGGAACAATGGTTTGCAAGGATAGAGTGATCCCCCCGACCTGACACCCTATATGTGATTTCAGTCCATACTCATGTTGTTGATGCTTAACTTCCCTGTGAAGTGCCTGAGCAATCCATTTTGATTAATTAATGTAGGAGTTTGATGCAAGAAGTAGGTTGATCATCAACCTCTGGAACACATTCCTTGGTTTTCAAGTCTTAGAGTGGGATTTGAAGCCAAAGCTTCTGGCTGAGAAGCAAGGAGTCTACCTACTGTGCCAGAAGTCCTCCTCAAGGCATCCAGCTCAGAAGTCAGACAACACCAGGTTATAGTCCAACAGGCTTATTGGAAATCACAAGCTTTTTGTGTGTTGCCCCTTCATCAAGTCACCTAACATGGGGCAGTGCTATGAAAGCTTGTGAATTCAAATAAACCTGTTAGATTATAACCTGGTGTTGTCTGACTTCTGACCTTGTCCAACACTGGCACCTCAACATCAAGGCAACCAATAATAATCAATTTTCCAACAGCACATATTTGCAAATAATGTAATTGATAAGGGGTGATGCATGTTTAGCTCATGATAGACTTGTATGAAATTTATGTTTTATGATACTCATAGTGACTCAACTCTATAATACAATTCTTCCAGTCCCAATGCAAGTTCATTGATCTGAAATGTAAACTTTATTTCTCTCTACACAGATGCTACTTGCACTGCTGTACATTTACAGCATTTTCTGTTTATATGTTGATATTATATTTGAGATTTTTACTATCTGAGAGATGTCAAATTGATTTCGTTTTGTCTTGTTCAGGAAAGATGGAAAATACCAATAAATTATCAAATCTGGATAAAATCTTACTAAAATTAGGTAAGAATACTTAACTGACAAAACAAAATGCTATTATGCTGAAGGTTTATAATGTTATTCATAATTAGTATTTTGAAATATAATTTTAAACATTCTTATTTATGTAAATTTGCTAGTATTTCAGGTGGACCAGGGTACACAATTGCAAAAAGAAGTTAAGCAGCAGATTCACAGTATGTATTCTTTCCTGTCTTATACACTCAATCAATAAAAATGAAGTGTATTGTAATGATAACTTTTTTGTGTTGAAGTTCATGCTGTGTAGCCTTGCTGAATTGGAATAAGAAGGGGGATTTTACATTCACCTACTGGTTGGTATGAAGACAAGGGACAATGTAAAATATAACATGTGGCCATCCCAATCCTTACCCAGATTGAGGGAGGGATGAATAAGTCCACTTCACTGAAGTAAACTCAAACTGAAATAAAATAAACTTAAATGAGAGCAATTGTGAGGGCATGGAAGCTGAGCTGGCTAAAGTGAACTGACAAATTAGGTTAAGCAAAAGATTAATAGAAATCCAGTGGAAGATGCTTAAGGAGATTTTTCAAAATACGCAGAAATATTCTGACGAGAAAGAAAGTTCCAAAGTCTGTGGTTATCTAAAAAAGTTAAAGATTGTTTAAAAAAATGTAAATTTGCAAAGATGGGTAGCAGGTCAGAAGATTGGTCAGAAAATGAAAAAAAAACAAGATTGACTAAATTAAAGTTTGAGAGAGGGCTATCTTGAAATGTGCAAACATGTAGTAAGTGTTTCTAAAGACATTTTAAAAAAAAACAAGTCAAAACAAAGTGAACGTTGGCCTGTAGAAAGTGTGTTGTGGGGATTAATAATGAAAAATAAGGTAATGGCAGATCAATTGAACATGTATTACCATGAAGGCCTCACCTATCGACCTTTACCCTCATCTGAGGCATGGTGACCCTCAGGTCAAGCCACCACCAATAGTCTCTCTTTAATGAGAGAGTATCTCTATGGTCTTCTAGAACTATGGTGACTTTACTGTTTGATCATCACTGTAATGTCCCAGAAATAGCCATAAATCAGTAAATGGAAGGAAGAGAGAATCTCAAGAAAATTATAATCACCAAGGAAGTGGTACTGAGCAAATTGTTGGAACTGCAGGCTGACAAATCCTTGGGTCCTGATTGAATGCATTGTAGGGTTTGAAAATAAGTGGTTAATGAGATAGTTGAAACATTGGTTTTAATTTTCCAACATCCCCTTGATTTGGGGAACATTCCATTAGAATGTGAAAGTAGTGAATATAACTCCTTTATTCAAAAAGGGAGAGAGACAGAAACAGGGAAACAACAGTCGAGTTAGCTTAACAACTGTCATAGCAAAAATGTTAGATGCTATTATTGAAGACATTATAGCAGGGCACTTAGAGTTCAAGTTACTTAGGCAGTCACCATGGTTTTGTGAAGGAGAAGTCATGTTTAATCAATTTATTGGAGCTACCATAAGATGTAGGAGTAGAAGTAAGTAATTTGACCCATCAGGTTTTCCATGTGGTTCAATTAGATTGTGGCTGATCTAATAATCCTTAACTCTACTTTCCTGCCTTTTCCACATAACCTTTGATTCTTTTACTGATTAAAAATCCATTTATTTCTGCTTTGGATACTCTTAATGATCCAGCCTTAACAGCTTTCTGTTATAAAGAATTCCACAAATTCGGTAGCGTCTGAGAAAGGAAACTTCTCATCTCTGTCTTAAATGGACAACCATTGCCCTGGGATTGTGCACTCTGGTCCTAGACTCTCACAGAAGAGGAAGCAACTTTCTGCATCTACCCTGTTAAGTCCCCAAGGAACCTTATGTGCTTCAATAAAGTCTCATTTCATTCTGCTAAACTTTGTTCGGTGCAAACCCAACCTACTGAACCCCTCCTCATAAAATAATCGCTCCTTACCCAGAATTAATCTAGTGAAATTTATCTGGTTTGCTTTCAATGCCAGTATTTATTTCCTTTGATAATGAGAGTGTTCTGTGTGTGGAGAACTAGTGGCTTGTATAATTTTAGCAAGACTTCCCTATTTTTACACTCCATTCCCTTTAAAATAAAAGCAAACAGCCCATTTGAATTCCCGAGTTACCCACTGAACTTGAAAGTTAGCTTTTTGTGAATCACGCAGAAGGACTGTCAAATCCCTCTGTGCAGCTTTCTGTAGCTTCTCTCTATTTAAATAATATTCACCTCTTCTGTTCTTCCTGCTGAAGTACATAACCTCACAATATATTCCATCTTAAAAGTTTTGTCCACACTTTTATCATAGAATTCCCACAGTGTGGAAAGAGGCCATTCAGCCCAATAAGTCCACACAGACTGAAGAGCATCCTACCCAGACCCACCCCCTACCCTAACCCTGCATTTCCCATGGCTAACACACCTAGCCTACACATCCCTGAACACTATGGTCAATTTAGCATGGGCAATCCACTTAGTCTGCACATCTTTGACTGTGGGACGAAACCAGAGCAACCGGCGGAAACACCACTCAGTTACCTAAGGCTGGAATCGAAACCGGGTCCCTGGCGCTGTGAGGTAGCAGTGCTAATCACTGAGCCACCATGCCACTCAAGGTGGGGTATCTATCTCCCTCCATAGACTCTTTGTGTCACCCTCACAATATGTCATCTATAAACTTAGCAACTGGACATTCACTTCCATCATCCAAGACATTGATAAACACTACAAATAATTATGGCCTCAGCACTGATCCCTGTGGCACTCCACTGGTTGCAGGTTGCCTTCCTGAAAAAAAACCCATATCCCAACTCTCTGTCTTCTGTTAGATAGTCAATCCTCTGTCCATGCTAATATAAGAACAAACTGCCCCAATGCCATGGAATTGTACTATTAGGTATCTTAGTAAATATCCTTATGTGTAGCATAATATCAAACACTTTTTAAAAAATCTAGATATATCTACTAGTTCCCTTTTATCTATCCTGCTTGTTACAACTCCAAAGAGTTTTAATAATTTGTCAGGCATTATTTCCCCTTCATGAAGCAATGCTGACTCTGTTTGATTATGCTATTTCTATATGTTCTGCTATTACATAAAAGAAATCATAACATTGTTCCCAATGACAGATTTTAAGCTTATAGTTATTTTTTTTTGGCTTTCTCCATTTTTTGAACAAGGGTGCAACATTGGTAGTTTTCTTACCACTGAGACTTTTCCAGCATCTAAGGATTCTTGGAAGATTACTACTAGTGCATTCACTACTTGAGGAACTACTTCCTTTAATATCCTAGTTCATAACCCATCAGGTCCAGTGGACCTTTTGGCCTTTAGCCCTAAAGGCTTCTCTAGTATTTTTTCTCTGGTAATAGTTATTGTATTTATTTCTCCCCACCACTTTGCCCTTGATTATTTGGTATATTTGAATGCTATATGTATTGTCTACTGTGAAGATTAATGTAAAGCATTTATTCAATTCTCTGCCATTTACCTGCTCCTCCTTATTTACCCAGTATCATTCTCCAAGGATCCTCTGTTCACTTTAGCCCCTCTTTTCTTTTATTATAGTTAAAGAAGCTCTTGCTGTCCATTTGTACATTACTTGCTGGCTTACCCTAATAGTTTATTTCTTCCTTTTTTTTATTCATCATATTTTGTTGGCTTTTAAACTTCTTTCTGCCCTCTGGTTTACCACCAATCTTTGCTTTTTTTTTCAATCTGATACTATTCTTTGAGGAAGTAACATGTTCTATAAATGAAAGAGAGCTAGTGAATGGACTGCCCTTGGATTTCCTGAATACATTTGAACAGGTACCACATACAAGGTTATTGTGGAAGACACAAGGTCAAGGTGTTAAAATATTGGCATGGATAGAAGATTGTCTAAATGAAACAGAGAGTACTCATAAATGGATCATTTTCTGGTAGGCAAGATGTAGTGAGTAGTTTACCACATGGATCAATGCTGGGGCCTCAACAATTTATATACATGATTTGGGTGAATGGACAGAAGATATTGTTGCTAAATTTTCTATTGGCAAAAAGATACTTAGGCAAGTAAGCTGCAAAGAAGACATACAAATGGACATAGATAGATTTAGTGAGTGAGCAAAGAACTGGCAAATCGAGTATAATGTAGAAAATGTAAAATTGGCTGTTCCAGTAGGAAGAATGAAAAAGGAAATATTGTCAAAATGGTGTGAGATTGCATACCTCTGAGATGCAGAAGGATCTGGGTGTAAGTGCTAGAATCCCAAAAGATAAAACAAGTAATTAGGAAAGCTAATCGAAAATTATTGTGAAATACAAGGGGGAATTGAATGCAAAAATAGAGGAATAATAGTCATTTGTGCCAATAATTTGAGAAAGACAAAAAAAGATAGTTTACCACCATTATACTGACAAAGAATATTATTTGTGAATTTAATAAGAGCCCTGTGGTAGTGTTGGAAAAACTTGATTGGAAGGAGTTGTGAGGAAGTTGGGAATGAACTTGATGGGTGATAACACAATGACTTCAGTTATATTTGTTCTAAGTCTGGAATTGTTTTGTTTGAAGAATGTAACTATGAATACCTTTTAATGTCACTTTCTACTGTTGACAGTAATTCAGAAGAAAGTACCACAGCAGAAGAATTTTGAATGAAATTTAATGGTCTTCTCATGGCCGATTTGATGGCAAGAAAGCATTTAATTGGGCGAGAGAGTGTTGGGTGGTGACATCTTTGCCTTCCTGTCATTGCCCAGTTAAACATATGGTGAGAAGGCTCGTGAACAGCTTTCACATCCCACCACCAATTGAGATTGTTGTGTGAACAATTAATGCCTTAAAATTGTGCCTGTACTAAATAGTGTGTTTTGGTATCCACATTATAAATGAAAATAGACTTTGTTCTATTTCTGACTAAATTTAGAACTAAAAGATCAGATTTTGATACTTTCATGCGTTTTATGTGTTTTCCAGTATATTCAGCAACTGTTGCAAAAAAGAGACAACAGATTGATGAACTACATGTGAAACTTAGCCATTTTGATGATGAAATTAATCGAATGCAGAGGATAAGTGCACATACCATGGATAATTTTAAAGTGTAAGGATTTTGTTTAATTAAAATTAAACAATTACTGCTGATTCAGGTTTAGCATCCAAACCTCTCCAGTAGTGAATTACACATGGAGCAATGAGTGCCTAATTGTTTGTGGAGCATATGAGGGTAGAAGAAGTTACATAGAAACAATCTGAAAAGTTCAAATGAAATCCAATTTTACATTAGACAACAGATTAACCAGATTAAGTTGAAAACTACATCACCAATCTGAAAAAGTCCTGCATACATAATCTATTTTATATGCCACAGGTTATTAATTTAGTAGTGGTTTTACTCAGTTTAGTTCTCCCAGTGGTTGCTCATTGCTGATGTCTAATTGCTGAGGGCATTCATTTTGCAGGACTGATAAATAATGTGACTACTACATATCACAAATATTTTAGATTGATTTACTAGTAATTTGTGGTTCATACATCACACAATATGGGATGTAAGTAACATTAAATATGAAACTACACTATCCGTTTTACAGATGCATCCTCCCATCAAGAAATCGCACCCAACGGGAGGAACATCTATCTGCCCAATTGCATGCTTATACTAATTTTCTGCTCTTAAAATGTGATCATAATTTCCTGATAATTTAGTGGTTGACAACCCACCATTAGTGCACAATTTCAAAACTGTCCTTGATAAATAAACAATGGACTGTGTAAACTTAACACAAATTTAACTTTGAGTTTAATAATCAAAGCAACATTGGATTGATATCTCATTTCTAGTTGAAAACATTGAACTACTTAGAATGAACAGTCCTTTCTGTCCATGCTTACCAGGCTTTCTGACTTTTTTGTAATGTTGGTGTTTCCATATTATTTTGTTTTGTTTTAGTTGGACAGGGTACCAAAATTCTAACTTTGATAAGTCCAAATATTAAATATTAATGATTCTTAAAATGCTGTGGTTACTAGAGCAGATCAGAGGTTAGGAATGCTGCAGTAAATAATTCATCTTCTGACTCTCCAGTCCTGTCCACCGTCTACAAGATACGAGTCAAGAATGTGATGGAACACTGCCCAGTTGCGTGGATGAGTACAAACTCCAACAACACTCAAGAAGCTTGACACCATCCAGGACAAAACAGCCCACTTGATTGGTACCACATCTTAAAACATCAACTCCTTGCCCCACTGATGCTGAGTTGTATCAGTGTGTACCATCTATGAGGTGCATTTCAGAAATTCACCAAAATTGCTTAGACAGCGCCTTCCAAAACAACAACCATTTCCACTCACAATGACGAGGGCAGCAGACACATGGGAACAGCATCACTTCAAATTTCCCTCCAAGTCATTCACCATCATGATTTGGAAGTAAATCTTGCAACTTTCAGTGTTGCTGGGTCAAATTCCTGGAATGCCCTCACTAATGGCATTGTGGGCCTACCTACAGCACATGAACCGCAGTGGTTCAAGAAAGCAGTTCACCAAGACCTTCTCAAGGGCAAATATGGAGAACAGTCAGTGGCCTAGCCGGTAATGCTCGCATCCCATGAGTGAATTAATTAAAAACAACGTGATAGCAAATTAGACAATTTGGGTGGAATTTTACTAGGCTCCAAATGGTGTGGGCTATGGTGAAATGAATGATAAAATCAGGAAAGATGTTTGACAAGCTAATCTTTAAATTGACATAATCTGGCCATATCTTATTACACTTTTCTGAAGTGGTATGGTGAAACTAACTAGTGTGTTCCCCGTTAACAATCATTATTGCTTGTTAAACAATTTGTTAACAGTCCAGCTCACCATAGGGTGTGATCTTGCCATTTGTAGGGTGTGAGTGTCACTGGCTAGCCAGCATTTAACGCCCATCCCTAGCTGCCCTTCAGAAGATAGTGGTGAGCTGCCTTTTTGAACCACAATGCCATTAAGGAGGGAATTCCAGGATTTTGACCCAGCAACAGTGAAGGAACGACAATATATTTTCAAGTCAGGGTGGTCAGTGGCTTGGAGGGGAACGTGAAGGTGATGGTGTTCTTGTGTAGCTGCTGCTCTTGTCCATCTAGATGGAAGTGGCCATGGATTTGAAAGGTGCTGGTGTGAATTACTGCAGTGCTATTTTGTGGAGAGTACACTTTGCTGCTCATGAGCATCGGTGGTGGAGGCGGTGGATGCTTGTGGAAGTAGTGCCAATCAAGCGGGCTGCTTTGTCTTGGACGGTGTCAAGCTTGTTGAGTGTTATTGGAGTTGCACCCATCCAGGTAAATGGGGAGTATTCCATCCATTTTCAGCCCAGGTCTGGATATTGTCCAGACGCAGTTACATTTGAAAGTGGACTAGTTCAGTATCTGAGGAGAGTCTGAATGGTACTGAGCATTGTGCAATCATTGGTGAACATTCCCACTTCTGTGTTATGATGGAGGGGAAGTCATTGCTGAAGCAGCTGAAGATTTTTGGGTCTAGGATACGACCCTGAGGAACTTCTGCAGAGATGTGCTGGAGCTGGGATGACTGACCCCCAACAACCACGACCATTTTCCTATGAGTCAGCCATCCTGTCTCCAAACAGGGTAGAGTTTGCCCCGTGATAACCATTGATTGCGGTTTATCTAGGGCCACACTCAGTTGAATGCAACCTTGATGTCAAGTGCTATCACTCTCACCTCATCTCTGGAACTCAGCTCTTTTGTCCATGTTTGAACCAAGGCTGTAATGAGGTCAGGAGCTGAGTGGCCCTGGCAGAACCCAAGCTGGGCATTGCTGAGCAGGTGCTGCTCGATAGCACAATCGACGATGCCTATCATCACTTTACTGATGATTGAGAGTAGACTGATGGGGCAGTAGTTGGCTGCATTGGATTTGTCCTGCTTTTTGGGCACAAGACATATAAGGGCAATTTTCCACGTTGATGGGTAGGTGCCAGTGTTGTAACTGTACTGGAACAGTTTGGGTAGGGGAGCAGCAAGTTCTGAAGCACCAGTCTTCAGCACTGTCGTGGGAATTTTCACAGAATGTTTGCAGTATCCAGTGTCTCCAGCCATTTCTTGATATCGTCTGTAGTGAATCAAATGCAGTATCCAGTGTCTCCAACTGTTTCTTGATATCGTCTGTACTGAATCGAAGACTGGTATCTGTAATGTTGGAGATCACTGGAAGAGGCCTTGATAGATCATCCATTTGGCACTTCTGACTGAAGATTATTACGAATGCTTCAGCCTTATCTTTTGCAGTGATGTGCTGGCCTCTTCCATCATTGAGGATGGGGATATTTGTAGAGCCTGCTTCTCCAGTGAGCTGCCTAATTGTCCACCACCACTCATGACTTTTTGTGACAGGACTGCAGAGCTTAGATCTGATCTGTTGGTTGTGGCATGCAAATAGCCCTGTTTGGTAGCTTTGCCAGGTTGTCTTTTCATTTTCAGGTATGCCTGGTGCTGTTCTGGGCATGCCCTCCTGAACTCTCCACTGAACCAGAGTTGATCCCCTTTGGTAATTGTTAAGTGGGGGACATAACAGGCCATAAGGTTACAGATTGTGCTGGAATATATTTCTGCTGCTGTTGATGGTTCGTAGTGCCTCAAGGATTCCCAGTCTTGAATTGCAACATCTGTGCAAAGTTTGCCCCATTCAGCATGGTGATAATGCCACACAACGCGGTAGAGGTTATTCTCAATGTGAAGGCGGGACGTCATCTCCACAAAGGCTATGCAGTGGTTACTCTTACCGATACTGTCATGAACAGATGCACCTGCAGTTGGAAGTTTGGTAAGGATGAGGTCAAGTACGTTTTTCCCTCTTGTTGGTTCCCTTACCACTTGTTGCAGACCCAGTCCTTTAGGGCCAGACCAGCTCGATCAGTAGTACTGCTGCCGAGCCATTCTTGGTGGTGGATATTGAAATCCCCCACCCAGAGTATATTTTGTGCTCTTGCCATCCTCAGTGCTTCCTCCAAGTGTTGTTCAACATGGAAGAGTATTGATTCTTCAGCTGAGGGAGGATGGAGTAAATGTTGAGGATTCCCAGGACAGCTCCCTCCTGGCTGTATACCAATGTGTTGCCACCTCTGCTGGACAGAACATATTCAGGGATGTTGATGGTGGTGCCTGGGACATTCTCTGTAAGGTATGATTCTGTGAGTATGACTATATCAGGCTGTTGCTGTAAATCAGTGAGACAGATCTTCCAAATTTTGCACTAGACCCCAGATGTTAGTATGGTGAAATGCAAGTGTGTATGAAATGTTGAAACAATTGATAGATGTCTGTGCAATAAATTTTGGACATAAAAGTGTTTCCTAAATAAATTGAATGTAACATAGTAACGTAAACAAATTTCTTACATAAACTTTACATGTTGGGATACATGTAAAAGTAATAAGTCAAATCAAATCCATATGGGATACATGCAAAGTATAGTTTTTCGTGCTATCCAGACAAATCATACCTTACATAAGTACATTAGGATAATAGTACAGAATGCAGAATATGGTGTTATATCTCTAGAGAAGATGCAGAGAAAGATTAATATATGAGAGGTCCATTCACAAGTCTGATGACAGTGGGGAAGAAGCTGTTTTTGAATCTGTTGGTATGTGTTTTCAAACTTTTGTATCTTCTGCTTGATGGAAGAGGGTGGAAAAGGGTATTACAGTGTTGGAGGGGTGTATGATTATGTTGGTTGCTTTCCTGAGGCAGCAGGAAGTGTGAAAGGAGACAGTGGAAGGAAGGCTGGTTTTCACGATAGACTGGGCTGCATTTACAACTCTGTAATTTCTTGCGGATGTGGGCAGAGCATGTCATACCAAGCTGTGATGCATCTGGGTAGGATGCTTTCTGTGGTGCATCTGTAAAAATTGGTTAGAGTCATTGTGGACATGCCAAATTTCCTTAGCCTTTTGAGGAAGTAGAGGCAGTGGTGAGCTTTCTTGACTGGAGGACCAGGACAGATTGTTGGTGATATTTAATCCAAGAAGCTTGAAGCTTTCAATTACCTCCACCTCAATATCATTGATACAGACAGGGGCATGTCCTCCTCTCCGCTTCCTGAAGCCGATGGCCAGCTTCTTCATTTTACTGACATTGAGGGAGAGGTTGTCATCTTTACACCATGCCACTATCCTGTACTCTGTCTCGTCACCGTTTGAAATCCAACCCACAAAGGTGGTGTCATCAGTAAATTTATAAATGGAATTGGAGCCGAATTTGGCCACACACTCATGAGTGTATAAGAAATATAGTAAGGGGTTGTATCTGCAGCCTAGCAGGGCACCAGCATTGAGGATTAGTGTGCAGGTGTCTATCCTAACCGATTACGGAGTTAAGGATCCAGTTGCAAAGGGGAGAGTAGAGTCCTAGGTCTTAGAGTTTGGAGATAAGTTTGGCAGGAAGTATGGTGTTGAAGGCTCAATAAACTGGAGTCTGACGTAGATGTCTTTGTTATTCCAGATGTTCTAGGGATGAGTGTAGGATCAGGGAGATGGCATCAGCTAAGGACCTATTGCAACTGTAGGTGAATCATAGCTGATCAAGGCAATCTGGGAGGCTGGAGTTGATGTGTGCCATTACTAACCTCTCAAAGCACTTCATAATGAAAGATGTCAGAGCCACCAGGCAGTAGTCATTAAGGCGTGTTGCTTGATTTTTTTTAGCACTAGGTTGGTGGTGGTCTTCTTGAAACAAGTGAGAAGCTCAATCAGAGTAAAGAGAAGTTAAACATGTCTGTGAATGCTCCTGTCAGTTGGTCTGTGCAGGATCTGTGTGCGTGGCTGGGGACTCCATCCTGGCCAGTCTCTTTCTGTGAGTTCACTGTCAAGAAGGCCGATCTGATGTCTACGGTGGTGACTGTGGGTGTAAGTGCACCCGAGGCTGTTGTGGCAGATTACATCATTTCACTGACCTTCTGTTCAAAACCATCGTAGAATGCATTGAGCTCATCAGGGAGGGATGCACTGTTGTCAGCAATTCTACTTGACTTCATTTTTTAGCCTGTTATATCATGTAAACCTTGCCACAGTTGACGGTGGTCATGTGGTTTGTTTTGGACTCTATTTTAGTCTGGTATTGTCTCTCGGTGTCCCTAATGGCTTTGCAAAGATCATACCTGGATTTCCTGTAAAGGTCAGGGTCATCCGATTTGAACAGTTCAGACCTCCACTTTAGTAGGGAGTGGATCTCCCAGTTCACCCATGGTTTCGGGCTAGGGAACTCTTGGATTAACTTGGTTAGAGATAAAAAAAAACTGTGTATGCTAGAATCCAAGGCTGACAAACAGGAGGCTGGAAGAACACAGCAAGCCAGGCAGCATCTGGAGGAAAGGAGAAGTCAATGTTTCAGTATTACCCTTCTTCAGGACTGTTTGTCTGTCTTGAGTTAACTTCTTTGACATGCAGTCCTCTATACACTTAATGCTGAAGTCTGTAATGGTTGTGACATACTCATTTAGGTTGGCCACTGAGTTCTTGAATTTGAACCAGTCCACCGACTCCAAGCAGTCATGTAGGAGCTCAACCGTTACCTCAGTACCTCTGAGCAGACTAAACATGCTGAGCATCCTTTTGACAGAGGCAAAGGTCAAAGACAAATTACAGAATATGAAGAGAGGAAAATTTCATGACTGAAAGAATAATGAAACCTTTTTTCTAGAATTTGGTAGATAAAAATATCTGAGACTCTTGAACTTCATTGCGAAGTGCAATGTCTAAGGAAGAAATTGATGTGTCTACTATACCTCAAAGCTAATTTTCTAAGCCATCCTTTGTTTATTTCATTTAACTGGTAATACGTCTTGACCCACGTACAAAACTTTGTTCAGTTGTCTCTGATGAAAATCTACAGACAACTGAACATTCACGAGGTTGTCTATTAACTTTAGAGATGAAGTATAAATTACATGTTAAAGAAAAATAAGTTAACCTGCTGTAATAATTCAAATTGCTTTCCTAAAATTTGTTCTTGTGCTTTTAGCTGGAAACCAACATGTTTGCTTCTAACACAGCATGAAGAGCATTTTGAAAAGCAACTCTTAGAAGAACATGCTAATACCATCAGAGATAAGTAAGGAAGAATAAAACAATATTCAAGTACCTATCATTGTGCAGGAATTGTGTACTCAAATATTTTCTTTGCAAAGAATTTCAAACAACATAAAACAATTTATATTAAACTCCATATAAACAGTTCCTTCTTATGTAATGCAATATTTTTTGAATTTTTGTACAAGCACTTAACTTTAGTTTACTTAGTTTTCAATTTTCAATTGTAATAAAGTCCTTGTTTGTAGATATATAACGATTGTCAGTTGACTTGTATGACATGTCTGATATTTTTTTTTACAAGCCGTGGTAACAACAATACCAAGTCATAAAGTTCCTGTAACATTAAAAATTATACCAAGTTACTTCCCAAAGACAATGGATAATGATATAGACCCTTAAGTTGTGGAAGTAAAAATTGGGAAAATTGATGAAAGCATTGTTAAAAAGACTGATTTGAATAAGTTTTTAAGGGCAGAAAGAAAAGTGATAAGTCAGAGATTTCAGGAACAAAGTTCCATGGGCTACCACCAAGGCAACTGAACACTCTGGGCTGAATCCTGTGTTTTTTTGGCTAATGTTAGTTTTGTTGAGTTTCAAACAGGGTGTTTTTCTACAAGACCCAGTGAGATCTTTTGCCATTAATTACTAAACTTGCCTCATTCACTACATGCCTCATCCTTATTGTGCCCTTGCCACTGTTGGGATATGATGGAATATCCTGGCATCCCTAGCACTGTTGCTATCTTTAAAAGGCCATGTGTATCTGAACAAGCACTGTTAACCCAGAATTGCCCTGCATGGTTCTTGATATTTTCCCCAGACAAACAAGGGAAAATTAGCACTTTGCTTTGTTGGCTGGGACCTGGCTGTTCTGTTGGGCAGTTTGGTATACAGGCCTCCTCCCCCAGGACCAGCAGAGGAGGTCACAATACCAGGCTATGCCAGCCTGGTCCAAAGCTGCCACCTGAAACAGTTCAATCTTAGCCATCTGGAGGATTGCACAGTAAAATAGGAAGAAAGTAAATGTTCTTCTCTACTACACCAGCATAAAGGCCACCATCTTCTCTCTGGTATGTCATACTCATTCTTTCTCTGATACTGTACCCACCTCCCACCAAGGCTCATGGTCTACCACTCTCTCTACTGCCTGCAACATCTTCCCTCACTTACTGTCACCCCAACCCCCACAACGTTAACCTTTCATGCCCTCCAGACTGCATGCTCACTTGCTCAGGACACTTCCTGTACTAGCTGTATCATCCACTTAGATCTCTTTTAATAGCTGCTTATCTCTCATTCCAGGAGAAAAACAGGTCACAATAGAGTAGAAAGACTCAAGACAGGTGGTATGGTGGGCTGCCTGACATTTGGCTCCTCATCCCTTTTTTGGAGAGCATCCTGACTTTGACTGCCTTGAACAGCTCATGTTGTATAAGCCCCAGGATTGGTATCAAAGACTGCCCTTGACGTTCCATGCCAGCACACACCGTTCGAAGGTTATCTTCCTTAAATTGACTGAGAACTTCCAAGAACAATTACTGTCTCCCTGTGTTGGTGTCTGAGCTAAACAGCAAGGCAATACTGCAGTACCATGCACCTGGTATCTCTGGCTGAGGGGCAAAGTACAGAAAGGCAAGGCAGGGATGCATCCAGATACGCTCAGAGTAAGTAAATGCTAAGAGAGCAAGGAAATGGGCCAGACATGCAGTCTGCTACAAGTCCATGAACTAGGTGTGTAGCCCTGAGAGTAAGGTGCCTTGCAGCACAATGGTACAACTACGATGGTAGTTATGGTTTCATCCCAAGGTGTAAGGGATTGGAGATGTAATACAAGGGTTCTTAGAAGCAGGCAAATGTTGAATGCTCATGTCTGTGGATACAGGATGCATGTATCCGATGCTGATGGAGCGTGCCCTGAGATGTTGGTGCCTAGTGTCCAACATGGAAGTCTTTCGGAGTAAGTGGTGACCTAAAGTTACTATGTATCTCCTCAGACTTCCATATTCAGAATTCACAACATCTAGTTTGCTCGCAGTGGGTGGTAGGATTGGGAACTGCATACTAATGAAGTGGGATGTGGAGTTAATATGGTCGTTGACAAACAATAATCCCCCCTTTAATAGGTAATCCACTGCTGCTTAGTGAAAGAAAATTGCATTGATGCCCAGAACTTAGTTAAAACGTGCGGCAAGCTGCTTACAATATTGAGATAGAATTTGTTGGACTTCTTGTCATATCCCCTTTCATTCTAGCATCTATATGATTCTGCCATTTGTCACCAATGATAAGACAAAGGATGCAGGAATAGATAAAAGGCCGGTTGGTGTGCAGGAAATGTAGCCTGAGAGAGTTGGTATGACAATGAAGGAATTTGAGGATTTTAAATTGAAAATGGTAGGTGGTTACAGTTAATGTCACTGGTGATTTAGTGATCAAATAGCAATATCCAGCCCATGAGGGTATTGATTGTGGTTGAATACAGTTTTGCTGCTCTTGATGGCTCACAGTTTTGACTGCTAGATCTGTTCTAAGTCTTTTCCATTTAGCATGGTTGTACTGCTATGCAGCAAGTTAGAGGGTATCCTCTGTGTGAAAATGGGATTTTGCCTCTACTAGGACTGTGTGATAGTCATGGCTACCAATACAGCAGAAGTGAAGGTAAGGATTAGCATGATGTGATGTTTGAAGTTCAGCTTTGATGCACAGAGATCAAGGAGCATGTTCAGAGATAATCACCACTATCACTTTTAAGGAGGTGCCTTGATCATGAAAGATTAACACTAACTGAAAGGATTGAAAGTAGTTTGAGAGGGATGGACATGGAGCTGAGGCATTGTTCAAAGATCACAGGAGGGAACAAAGGTTAGAAATGGGTGATGATTTTATGGTTACAAGCAGAGATTTGTATAGGTTTTGTCAGAGGTTGTGTCTTCTTTCCATCTTTGTTTGACATTTCAAGGTGTTACCCTTTACATAACAAAGTTCAACTTTCTTCAGTTATTTCAAAGTGATTTTTCGAGCTGTTAAAGTGGCAGAGATGGTAGTCAGTGGAGTGGTATGCTCCTTCTGTCAGATGTGGGAAATCAGGGAGCAGTTGAGTGTCCCTGGCAACAATGTCTACAGAAAATGAGTCCAGCTGTAGCTCCTGTCACACTGCATGGATTGGTTGGAGTAGAAAGTTGAGGAGCATACTGGAGGAAGAGAGTGTGATAAATAGTAGCTTCACGGAGGGGGTCACGCTGCAGGTTCAGTCAGGTAAATGGATGATTTCCGGGAGGGGTAGGCAGGTAGTGCAGAAGTCTCCTGTGGCTATCCACAATTATACTGTTTTGGATACTGTTAGGAGAGATAGCCTATCAGGGGAAAATAGTAGCAGCAGCCAGTTCTTTGGCACCACGACTGGTTCTGCTGTACAGCAGGGTATGGCAAAATCCAAACGAACAATTATGATAGGGGACTCTGTAGTCAGGGGCACAGGCGGACGTTTCTGCGGCCACAAACGAGACTCCAGGATGGTGTGTTGCCTCACTGATGGTCAAGGATATGTTGGAGTAGTTTCTCAAAGGGCATATTCTCAGAGGGGAGCTTGAGCAGCTGGAGGTCATCGTACATATTGATACCAACGACATAGGAAGAAAAAGGGATGAGCTCCTGTAGAGTGAATATAAGGAGTTAGACAGGAGGTTAAAAAGCAGGACCTCAAGGGTAGCAATCTCTGGATTTCTCCCATTGCCATGTGCTGGTGAGACTGGGAATAGGAGGATAGGGCAGATGAATGGGTAGCTGGGTAGCTGAGGAGCTGGTGCAGAGGACAGGTATTGAGATTTTGGATCATTGGGATCTATTCTGGGGCAGAGGTGACCTGTACAGGAGGGACAAGTTGCACTTGAACTGGATACTGCCAGTATCCTGGCAGGGAGATTTGTTAGAACTATTTGGGAAGAGTTAAACTAGTCTGGGAGAGGAGTGGGACCCGAAACAGTAGTAAGATAAAAGAAAAGGTTGAGGCTAGTGCAGAAGTTAAAGAGAGCGAGTTAAGTAGACCAGGCAGGCAAGAGCATGGCAGGGAACAAGGGAAGATTGATGAATTAAACAGTATTTATTTCAATGCAGGAGGCCTGACGGGTAAGGCAGATGAACTCAGGGCACGAATGGGAACATGGGACTGGGATATCATAGCTATTACAGAAACGTGGTTGAGGGAGGAACAAAACTGGTAGCTCACTGTTCTGGGGTAAGGATTTGTAGAAAGGACAGAAGGGGAGGCAAGAGAGGAGGGGGACTGGCATTTTTGATTATCGCGACAGTACTTAGAGAGGATATTCCTTGGACCTGAGAAATAAGAAATGGATGATCACTTTGATGGGATTGTACAATAGGTCCCCCTATAGTGAGCAGAAAATTCAGGAGAAAATATGAAGGGAGATTGCAGATAACTGTTAGAATACTGGTTGTAATAGTAGGAGATTTTAACTTTCCAAACATGGACTGGGACAGCATAGTGTTAAGGGCTTGGATGGTAAGGAATTTGTTAAATGTGTTCAGGAAAATCTTCTCAATCAGTATGTAGATGGTCCTACGAAAGAAGGGGCAAAACTTGACTTCCTCTTGGGAAATAAGACAGGGCAAGTGACTGAGCTGTTAATGAGGGAGCTCTTTGGGACCAGTGACCATAATTCTATTAATTTTAAAATATTCATGGAAAAGGATAGGTCTGGTCCACAAGTTAAAGTTCTACATTGGGACAATTTAAGTACATTGAGATCTTGACCTGATGGGCCAATGTGCTGATGAGTGGTGGATGGAGTTTAATTTAGATAAATGTGAGGTGCTGCATTTTGGAAAGGCAAATCAGAACAGGACTTATACACTTAATGGTAAGGTCCGGGGGAGTGTTGCTGAACAAAGAGACCTTGGAGTGCAGATTCATAGTTCCTTGAACGTGGAGTTGCAGGTAGATAGGATAGTGAAGAAGGCATTTAGTATGCTTGCCTTTATTGATCAGTGCATTGAGTATAGGAGTTGGGAGGTCATGTTGTGGCTGTACAGGACATTGGTTAGGCCACTTTTGGAATACTGCTTGAATTCTGGCCTCCCTGTATTAAGAAGGATGTTGTGAAACTTGAAAGGGTTCGGTAAAGATATACAAGGATGTTGCCAGAGTTGGAGGGTTTGCTCTATAGGGAGAGGCTGGATAGGCTGGGGTTATTTTCCCTGGAGCATCAAAGGCTGAGGGGTGAACTTGTAGAGGTTTATAAAATCATGAAGGGGAATGAATAGGGTAAATGGACAAGGTCTTTTCCCCAGGGTAAGAGAGCCCAAAACTAGAGGGCATAGGTTTAAGGTGAGAGGGGAAAGATATAAAAGGGAACTAAGGGGCAACATTTTCACGCAGAGGGTCGTGCATGTATGGAATGAGCTGCCAGAGGAAGTGGTAGAGGCTGGGATTAAGTTAGTGGATAACACCAACATTGGTGGTATTGTGGACAGTGAAGAGGGTTATCTAAGAGTAGAACGGGATCTTGATTAACTGGGCCAGTTGGCTGAGGAATGGCTGATGGTGTTTAATGCAGATAAATGCAAGGTGTTGCCTTTTGATAAAACAAACCAGGGCAGGACTTACACAATTAATGGTAGGGCCCTAGGCAGTGTTGTTAAGCAGAGGGACCTAGGGGTGCAGGTACTTGGTTCCTTCAAAGTATTGCAACAGGTAGACAAGGTGGTGAAGAAGGCACTTGTCACCCTTGGCCTTCATCGGTCAGAGCACTGAGTACAGAAGTTAGGACAAGACTTTGGTAAGGCCACACTTAGAGTACTGTGTACAATTCTGGTTGCCCTGCTTTAGGAAGGGAAAGGATGCTAAAATGATTTTTAAGGATGTTACTGAGACTGGAAGATTTAAGTTGTAAGGAGATACTGGATAGGCTAGGATTTTCTTTCTCTGGAGCCTAGGAAGCTGAGGGGGTACCTTTAAAGAGGTTTATAAAATCAAGAGGGGCATAGATAAGGTGAATAGCCAAATTCTTTTCCCAAGGGTAGTAGAATCCAAAACTAGAGAGCATAGGTTTAAGGTGAGAGAGGAAATATTCAAAAGGGACTTGAGGGGCAACATTTTCACACAGAGAGGGTAGTGTATATATGGAATGAACTGCCAGAGGAAATGTTAGAGGTGGGTACAATTACAACATTTAAAAGACATTTGGTCAGGTACATGGATTGCAACCGGTTAGAGGGATATGGGTCATATGCAGGCAAGTGGGACTAGTTCAGTTTAAGAAACCTGGTTGGAATGGATGAGTTGGGCCAAAGGGCCTGTTTCCATGTTGTATGACACTGATTCTAAAGCTAGTCTGAAGCATCTTTAGTTTGATATTTGATGGCACGATGGCTGCCTTCTCTGCTAATATTCTGTGAAGATTCAACCAAAGTCACTGGCTAGTGCCATGCCATCCTCACGATTTAAGACCCGAGGAAGTGAAATCCCTTCAATTGAGCATAATGTGCCTTTGACCACCTGTGTAGCCTTTGAGGCTGAGGAAGGCTGTGCTACTCACATTTTTTTCCTGAACGTCCATTAAATTTGAATGTGCTTGGAATGCATTCGGTTTAATACACGTGGAGATAATTGAGACTTTCCACAAGGATACACTTTGTAGGCTTGACTGAAAAATAACAGCCCATGGAATCCAAGGGCAAATGACAAGCTAGATCCAAATTGCTTCAGTTGCAAGATGTGTAGGATAATGGTGGATAGATCTCTTTTGTAACTGGAAGGCAATTTACACAAGGCCCAGTAATAGGGATGTTCCTTTCATGGTATATAGCATTTAGTTAGACATAAAGGAAGCATGTAAGGAGCACGATTAGCAAGTTTGCAAATGAAAATTAATTTGATAGTGTGTTTGAGAATGACAAAGAAAGCTGTGGACAGGAAGAAATCAGTGTCCGATTTACTGGACAGAAATGTGGCAAATGGCATTCAATCTTGAGCAATATGAAGAACTGCATTTTGGGACGGCAAAAGTAAATACACAATAAATGGTAGGATATGGAAAAATCATGAAGTAATAGAAGGATCTTGGAGTACATGTCCCTAAAGATGGTAGGACAAGGACATGAGTGAAGATGAAGATAGAGACGGATGTGATCATTTCCTGTATTTGTTGAGACACAGCATATGCGAGCAAGGAGACAATGATAGAATTGTTGAAAATACCAATTACGTTAAGCTGCAGTATTGCATCTAGTTTGGGTCACCTATTATAGAAAGGATGTGATCACACTAGGGTACAGAGGAGATTTAGGAGGCTGCTACCGGGAATAGAGAATTTAGCTCCAAGGAAAGATTGAATAGGCTAAGTAGCTTTTCCTTGAAGCAGAATACTGGAGGGAGTTTTCAATAATGTGTATAATATGATTGACCTAGGTAGAAGGGATAGGAAGGATCTGTTTTGCTTAGCAGAGACATAAATAAGCAGGGGACATTGTAAAAGGATTAGCAGGTAGTTGAGGATAATATTTTTACCGATATGGTATGGGCCTAGAATTCACTGCCTGAAAGGATGGTAGAGGCAGAAATCCTTACCGCATTTAAAAATTACTTGGACATGCACTTGATATGCCATAACCTGTAGGATTGTGGTCTTAGAGTTGGAAATTGGGTACTAATTTTCAAATATACTCAGTTCTGTTATGCAATTATTTTTGTGACGCTCTGCATCAGCAGATACTGTTTACTTTTGAACATGTTTTTGAGCCCCATCCAAGTTAGTTTTCCGTGGTGGTAGTGGCTGCCTCACAGCCTTCTAATCTTGACTTGTTTGAAGCTGCTGCCTTTGCTCATTGCAGGCCTGGGAATTAAAAACTCAACTTATGATGGAGTGGTAGTTTGATGCTTGACCCTCGGGCCAGTCAAAACCTGCTTTCAGCTAATCTTTCTAGCATATTTCAACAAAGCGTGCATTCTTGTTTTGACTGATGTCTGGGAAAAATTACTGATGTATCTGATGTCTGACAATTTGATGTTGGAGGCGAATGTTACATTTGGTGTATTTATCTTTAAAATATTACACTGATTTGTTTATAGGAATCTTCTGTCTGTATGTGCTGAGTTTTATTATCTAATTGTGATTTTTTTTTATCTGACTCTACTAATATTAAACAATGAGTTTGAAGGGAAATCTTGAATTTTCCCAGGCAAATGTATCAAGACTATTTAAAGCAATATAGAAAGATTCTGCAGCAGCACCAGTCACAGTATTCTGCATTTTCCCATGCAAAGGAGTATTTAAAAAGAAAAGCAACATTTGAAGAAATTCGATGTCGAGTACTGAACTACACTGAGCAAATGCAACAGAAGACACAATTTCTGGCAGATCTTCTAGGTATTAAAAAATTGCCACTAAAGGATTTTTTACATCAGAAACTATTCGTAATTCTAAGAAAAGTATTTTTCTTTCTCTTTAACAGATTCATCATCTTTTGGATCACTGAATGAATGGGCTTTAGAAATGTATCTATTGGAATTCTTTGTCACTGTTAGATTTGGTTTGCTTTACTTACCTTTTCTGTATTTAGTATACGGTTCACATTTGCAGGTTAAGCTTATATCAATCATGGGGGAACTCATAGAAGAATAATTTCTCTAAGGTCTTTGATTGCTTTGCCCATTGGTGAGTAGATATTTTCTATCTTTTCCAAATGTATCATCCTCAATTATTACACCTGTGCAAAGAAATATTACATTTTTTGACATAGTGCCTTTGCTGAGTTATAACTGACGTTGAAGTAATTGAAGCAAGGAACCAAGCATTGTTTGAAAAGATCAATATATATCATCAACAATGTCACTCTACCACGATGGCCTGTCATTGCTTAAATATATATTTTTCTTTCTTTAACGGACTGTGAGTATCAGTGGAAAGACGATGTATGGACTCTTGTCCCAAACAACAAAAATTTGACTTGAATGATGGGGACCACCCAGAATGAGAGAATCTTTATGGCTGCCAGTTTCAAGAAATCCATTAATCATATCTGTGAAACTGTTAGTTCCTCCTGCTGATGTATTGGTGGCTTTTATGGCTGCAACATTTTTGTATAAAAAGCTATACCTACATTAACAGAGAAATAGGGGTTGGTTGTGCTCATCAGTATTCATCCAGCACAAGCATGATTGCTGAATGGCTGCTTTCATTCTGTATTATTCTACAATTCTATTGACTTCCTCTGCTTTTGAGACCATCTACAGTGTACCACATAGCACTGCAAATTCAAAGAAGGGATTAATTGATTCTGTTGCACTATATGGATACACTTGAGTTAGTTTTATTTTAAATCTTTCTTATCCTTTGTTTACTACCATAATAAGGTGCAGCTTTCTGAAATTTATACAGAATTAATTTAACATCTCTTTCAGGGTAAATACATTTTGGTGAACATGTTTTTGCTTTAAAACAGACGTGTGACTAGTGAAACTTAAAAAGCTGATCTGGGGTTCAATCCAAGCTTTGTGGGTTAATGTTGTCTTGGTATTTGGATATAGGTCTGCTCTGTCAGCACTTTTTTGGAATTGATTTTAGGATCAAAGCCGTAACTGCAGGATCCAAGACATGCTAGGCCAGTGGGAGTCTATAAAGTCCAACCTTTTCAAAGGTTAATTCCTTTCATTTAGTAGTTACATCAAACTTCAAAGCTACTTAAAGCTCAGAGTAGGTATTGCTTATAATTTTTATAGTCCCAGTGGAGGGGTATTGGTTTAATTGCTTGGCCACAGAGAATGTCAAGAGAATCATAACTTGCACATGTTCCCCAAATTTAAAAAAAAAATCATTCCTTTTAAATAGAATGATCAAATCCATTCATCAAGGCGGTTTAAGTAAGTAATGTGCGGCATTCGTGCAAGTTTGAGAGTAATTCTGATAGGCGACAAAGAAAGATATATATCCTTCCCTGAATTTGTAAAACTTTAACTTGAATTGCATTTGGTTGCACAGTGGCTCACTGCAGGATCACAGCACCAGAGACCTCGGTTCAATTCCAGCCTTGGGTGATTGTCTATGTGGAGTTTGTATATTCTCCCTATGTCTGTGTGGGTTTCTACCCACAGTCCAAATATATGCAGGTTAAACTGCCCCATAGTGGCTTTGGATGTGCAAGCTAGGTGGATTAGCCGTGGTGGGTCTGGTGGGATGCTCTTTGGAGGAACGCAGACCTGATGGGCTGAATGGCCTCTTTCTGCACTGTAGGGATTCTATGATTCATATTTTTGTAGATAGTATTCTTATAAAATATCTTAATTGGAATCAAACTTTATGGCCACAGGTATATGCTATTAGACAATCTTGGATATTTTTGCATTATCGATTTCCAGTTTGTACTTAACAAATATGGGGGAAAATAATGAACAATAACTTGTTAAATTATTATATTTGACTATTTGAAACACATACAAAATCTGAAAGGGTTGCTCAGCAATCATCAGCACAGGACCCTTTTTTTTCCTTTTATTCATTCATGGGATGAGGACATCACTGGCTAGGCAGCACTTATTGCCCATCCCTAATTGCCCAGAGGGCAGTTAAGAGTCAACACTGGGGTGGCATGGTGGCTTAGTGGTTAGCACTGTTGCCTCACAGCACCAGAGACCTGGGTTCAGTTCCACCCTTGGGTGACTGTCTGTGTGGAGCTTGCACATTCTCCCTGAGTTTGTGTGGGTTTTCTCTGGGTGTTCTGGTTTCCTCCCACAATCCAAAGATGTGCAGGCTAGGTGGATTGGCCATGCTAAATTTCCCATAGTGTTCAGGGATGTGTGAACTTGTTGGGCTGAAGGACCTGTTTCTGCACCATAGGGATTCTGTGATCTGATCTGTAAACATTGCTGTGGGTCTGGAGTCACATGTAGGCCAGACCAGGTAAGGATGGTAGTTTCCTTCCCTAAAGGGGATTAGTGAACCAGGTGGGTTTTTCCAGCAATCAACAATGGATTCATAGTCATCATTAGATTCTTAATTCAGATATTTTGTTGAATTCAAATTTCAGCATCTGCCATGGTGGGATTTGAACTTAGGTCTCCAGAACATTATCTGGGTCTCTGGATTAACAGTCCAGTGATAATACCACTAGGCCATCACTAGCTCCTCCCCCACCCTGCCTTCCTTTCTAGCTGTTAGGGGTAATGAACTCCATCTGTTATGTCTCTAAAAGCTTTTTGGCTGCTTTTCTAAAGTTATTTGGCTTTCTGTATTTAGCAGATGACTCATAGTCTACATTATACAAAATCTTTCAGTTTTTCTTATAGTCCATAAATATAGATTTATAGTCCAAGCAGAATAATATTTTACCTAAGTAAGTTTTGTTCTATAAAGGAGCTGATGCATTAGTTTGGGGAAGGCAGTTCCAACTGTTCTTAATCATCATAATATCTTAAATACCTTAAAGATAGTGCCTCTGCCATGATTTTTTCGCTGTTACTGTATCAAGGGGTGGCACGGTCACTCAGTGGTTAGCACTGCTGCCTCACAGCACCAGGGACCCGGGTTCGATTCCACCCTCGAGTGACTGTGTGTGGAGTTTGCACATTCTCCTCGTGTCTGCGCGGGTTTCCTCTGGGTGCTCCAGTTTCCTCCCGCAGTCCAAAGATGTGCTGCAGGCTAGGTGGATTGGCCATGCTAAATTGCCAGTAGTGTTCAGGGATGTGTAGATTAGGGAGGTGGGTCTGGGTGAGATGATCTGAGAGTAGGTGTTGACTTGTTGGGCCAAAGGGCCTGTTTTCCACACTGTAGGGATTCTATGATATAGACTTACTCCTGCGAAATTTAAAAAAAACTGTTTCTATCTCATGAAAGGGAGAGGGCAAAATAGGTAATGCAAAGATGTATTCACACTATAGTATGGATCAGTCATACGAGAGAGTGGTCACTGCACGTTAGGAGTAGAGATGACAGGTGAGTGGGTGAGCATTTGTCAAAAGGAAAAGAGACAGCAGGACTCCTTGGAACTACCTAACAGGTATGAAATTTTAGATGCCTATTTCGTGAGCAACATGACTGAGTTGGTGTTGGACGACTTGAAAGAAAACCATAGTACTATGGTGCCTGAGGCTATGCTGGGAAAAGAGAGAGAGGTTGGTAGGCAGATTAGTGGGTGTAATAGTGGGTGTCTTAGTAGTTTGAGGGATAGACAGTCTAGTTTGCAGCTGACATTGTGAATCTCATTGTATGTTGCTTCCTGGTGCAAGGGTTCTGAACATCATGAAACAACTGGATAAACGTCTGGAAAGGGAAGGTGAACAACCAGTGGTGGTGGTTCATGTGTGAACCAGCAACTTCAAGAGGGACAGCTTGGAGGTCCTCAGGATCAGTTTCACGAATTAGGGAGTAGGTTGAAATGCAGGATCTCCAGGGCAGTAACCTCAGAAATACTACCTGTGCAATGAGCTTTGCCATCTAGGCAAAGGCGTATCCAGGAGGTAAATGCATGGCTTAAGTGGTAATGTAGAAGAGAGGGGTTTAGATTGTTGGAAAACTGGAATCATTTTTGGGAAAGCAAAAAAGCTGTTCAGAAGAGATTGGCTTCACCTGAATAGAAAAAGAACTAATCTCTATCTGAAAGAGCAAGTAGTGTTGGGTCGGGCGGGGGAGGTGGGGGGTGGTGGAGGTGGTGGATGTGGTGGATTTAAACTTGTAAGGCAGAGGGTGAGTTGACAAATGGGCCTAGTTTTGGAAGTACCATAGAGGACAAAAAAGAAGATGGTGAACAGGGAAAAGGAAGTGAAGGAAGGCTTCAGTGTTGACAGTGGACAAAGAAATGACTGCCTTTCAACGGGCAAGAAAGAGATAAGTGCAGGTTAAACTGTATGTATGTATGTAAATGCATGTAGTATAGCGAACAGAATTGGGGAACTAGAAGCAGAAGGCTGGAATAAGGACGGCTGAGAGGAAAAGGAAGCATGAGGAAAGGATGGCAGATTGTGCTGAAACAAATAGCAAAATGTTCTCCAAGCATATTAATAGGAAAAGATTTATAAAGGATAGAGTGGGGCCCATAATGAACATGCAAGGTAAGCTGCTCACTGAAGCAAAGGATACACAGAGGTAGTAAATGAATATTTTGTTTCTGTCTTTACCAAATTAGAAGATGGTGACAATGCCTTGTGGAAAACATGGGTGTTAAGCAACTGAACAGTATAGTGATAAATAAAGAAGCTAAAGGCAGGTGGCACTCCAGGTAGAGAAGTTGCCAGGCCCAAATTGGATACATCCTAGATTGCTGAGAGAGTTAAGGGACTAAATTCTGGAGCAGTTGTTAGAAATTTTCCAGGCTGGCTGAGCATGGGATTAGTCCCTGGGCACAGGAGGATTGCAAATGTGACAATGTTGTTTAAAAAGGGGACAAAAGATAACCCAGAAAAATACAACCTGTCAGCTTGACATCAATAGTGGGAAAACTGTTGGGAGGCCATAATACAGGATAAAGTAAATAAACATTTACAGAAAAATAAGTTAATACTAAACCGTCATCATGGCTTTGTCAAAGGCAGGTCATGTCTGACAAATTCAATTGAGTTCTTTGATGAGGTGACAAAGGCAGTGGATGAAGGTAGTGCTTTGGTGTATATTTAGACTTTCAAAAGCATTTGATACAGTGCTGTATGGCAGGTTAGTTAACAATTTAGAAATGTGTGGGATTGATGAGTCCTTGGCAGCATGGATTAGAACTTGGCTAAAAGATAGGAAATAGAGTGTAGGTATAGATGGGCATTTCTCAGATTGGAGATGAGTTGAAAGTGGTTCTCCCCAGGGATTGGAATTGGGACCCTTTTTCTGATTTACATAAATGATTTGGAGATGGGAGTTGGGGTCAAAATCTCTAAATTGTTTGATAATCCTAAGCCAGGAAAAATAGTGAATTCTGAAGATATTGCTGAGTGACATAAGAGGGACGTTGACAGGTTGGCCAAACGGGCAGACACTTGGCAAATGAATTTCAATGCAGAGAAATGTGAAGCAATGCATTTTGGTAGAAGAAACACAGAGAAGCAATGGACACTCAATGGTAAAATTTTCAGTGGAGTAAAGGAACACACAGACCTCCATGTTTCACCTGCATGGTTTTTTGAAGGTGGCCAGAAAAGTTGAAACAATTGTTAAGAAGGCTTACAGAATTCTTGAGCTTATAACTAGAGGTATAGAGTATAAAAACAAGGAAGTGATACTGCACTTCTACAAATCATCGATCAGACCACATTTGGAGTGTTGACTTCAGTTCTGGAAACTTTATTTAAGGAAGAATCTTCAAGCCCAGGAGAGAGTTTAGAGGAGATTCACTGGAATGATACCAGGAATGAAAAATTTTAAATAAAAGAAAGATTAGAGATTGGGCTTATTCTCCATGGAGCAGAGAAGATTACGAGTGACCTTATTGAAGTGTTCAAATTAAGAACAATTTTGACAGCGTAAGAAAGGATATTCTGTTTCTGCTGGTTGGTATGTCAGTAACTAAAAGGTCTAATTTCAAGATTGTCAGCAAGAGAGCTAGGAGTGAGATCAAGAGATTTTTTTTACTCGGAGTTGTTAGAATTTGTAATGTGTTGCCTGAGAAATTGGTGGAGGTAGATTCCATAGGTTGCAAAAGACAGCTGGATATGTATTTAAAAGTGACGAAATTAGAAGGTTACTGAGATAGGGCCAGAAAGTGGGACTTCCTGGGTAGCTCTTTCGGGACCTGGTACAGACACGATGCATCAAATGGTCTCCTTATTGTAAAATCCTAAGATACTATGATAGCAGCATTTGTGCAAAGTGTTTTTGTTTTACTCTGATGCCAAACTTGCAATATAGATTTGGAGTCATAACATGACCTGAAAATGAAACCATGGGGCTAAATCTTACATTTTTTTTGCTAAGTGCCAAGTCTGTTGAGTTTTTTAGAGGGATATTTGCTGCGAGTCCAAGTGAGTTTTCTTGCTATATCTTTACAAATGTGCCTTATTAACTGCCTACCCCACCTCCATTGGTGACCTACTCATCTGTCAATACAGTGTGGAACTGGAGGAACAAAGCACGTCAGGCAGCATCATAGGAACAGGAAAGTCGACGTTTCGGGTTTACACCCTTCATCAGGACTGGGGAGAGGAAAGGGAGCTGGGAAATAAATGGAGACAGGAGGGGTGGGGCTGGGGGAAGGTATGTGGGATGGTGGTAGATCCATACAGATAGGGGGTAGTGGAGATTGGTCAGTGGGAATGGTGGGGCAGATAGGTGGGAAATATGATGGACAGATAGTGTCAGGTTAAAGAGGCAAGGATGAGAGGGAGGGTCGGACATGGGATGAAGCTGGGGTGATCACTGGTGTTCTCCCCCACCTACTCATGTGATTCATTCCCCATCTTACTATGTACCATTCCTGGAACAACTTGCCAGTGCTGCAATATGTCAGAATTGACCAGCATCCCTGGTGCAGGTGCTATCTTTATTTTGTATGTCTACACCCAGACAAGCATTGGCAACCTGGAGCTGCCTTGCACGGTTCATGATATTTGCTCCAGACATGGCAGAGAAGGCAAGTTTTCATTCCCACTTTGAAGCCAGAGACCTGGATGGCCTGCTGGATGGTTGGTAATAAATGGGACATCCTCTTCTCTGAGGGCCTGCAGGGGAGACAACAACAGCAAATTATGCCTGCATGCTGCGACGTTGCCACCCAGAATTCACAGCAATTTAGGAAAAAGGTTGATGTCGTTCTCCGTTCCACCCGCTTAAGTGTCACCATTGTCACTCTTTCTATCTCTGTTACTATGCTCACCTCCCACCAAGGCTCACGCTCCACCACTCATGCACCTGCAATATTTTCTCTCTCTGTTACCCACCACAAACCCCAACACTATTAATCCTGCATACTTTCTCTGCTACCTACTGGCTAGCTCAGGACACTTCGCCCCCGCATCGAAAGTAACAGCAGTGCCTCCTATAATACCTGCCTCTCCCTCATTCCAGGAGGAAAACAGAAAATAGGCCTATGTCATTCAGGCCTCAGTAAGATTCTGCCTAAAAAGGACTAAAACTCTGTTAATTTTCTAGAATCACTGAATATGATTTCAGATTTTCTTCAAATTAACACCATGTACAATCCATATGTTTAGTGTAAGTGCAACAACTGGTAATGTGAATAAAGTGTTATTATAGATGACTGGAGTCAAGTTCCTATTGTAACAGTACTTTCAATGAAGTTTTTCGACTATGTTTTATGTTATTCCCTTAACATTATAGTGCCACTTTAAAAATAGAAACAGACAAATCTTTGAAGCAAATTACTATATTGGCAAAAGAGAAAACATTGAGTCAATACGAAAGACAAGAGCATACTGCACAGGTAACTTTTGTGTGTCTAGTTTTATATTTCAATTCTCTAAATGCCTTTTGTACAAGTGCATCATTCAAACTTCAGTTGATAATGTCTGTTATGTATTCTAAATAGAAAATATGAATGGTTATTGAACTTTAAAATTAAAATATAAAGACAAAGCAGCCTGTGATACACTGTATAACGTGACTTCATAGAATCCAAAATTTATTTTAGGATGCCATCAAAAGGATTGCAACATTCACGATATTTATTTACATCAGCTAAATTAAAACATATTAATTTGGAAGAATACTCCATTAATCATTAAATAAAAATATAAAATACATGCTGAATTTTGCAATTTGAAACTTCTAATGTTATTTTAATTTTCTCATACAGTTTGGTGATTCTGAGAGTTTCAAAGAAGTAAATGAACTTCGATCAGATCTGTTGCATTTCAGTAATTTGCCAAATATTGTCACTTCAAAGGAACAAGAACAGAGGTCGGAATTCAAATTTTAATAACTAACTTTAGCAAATATAGATAAATATTTTGATGCCAAAATGTTATAAGATTTTCAATGAACTAATCTAATTAATTAAAAGTATTGTGTCTATCATGAATCTTATATTGCCTTCCCGCTGTTAGACTTTAGCCACCTCACCCTAGAATGGCTAAAAATCAAATAGCAAATTAGCTGTAAAGATGGAGAAGCTACAAATCAAAAACATCAACAGGAAGGGGAAAACTGCTAATGAGAACCAGCAAGACCTTCTGTGAACAAATAGGAATTAATGAGGAGGAGCTACCAATGAAAAACCTTTTTATCTCTCATTTTTAATCTCCGTCTATTATTTGTACCTTCTTAATCTTCATTTGAATCTCTTTTTAAACTTACAATTGCTTTCTTGTCTGTTTTCCTCATATTTTCCCCTCTTTTCTCTCATCATATAGATTATACATTTTAGATTTGTTTCAAGCATTTGAATAATTTTTTTGGAAAACCCATGCTGTACCTGCTGCATGGAACATTTTTAAAACCATAAAATCCTTAATAGCGATCTGAGCGCAAACGTGATTGTGATTTGAGTGAAGTAGCTATAATCCCACTGTCTCATTACAGAGTAACAACTGATGGTGGTTTAACCTGAGCGTAGCCATGTCTCAGGCCAAGTTGAGAAGGTGGTACCTTCATGGTAACCTCAGGTAGTGTGGGAATTGAGCCCATGCTGTTAGCATCACAAACATGCTACGCAGCCAGCTGAACTAACCAACCCCTAATGATTTGAGTGGCATTTCAACCAATCTTATAGAAAAACTATCTTTTAAAAATTTGAGGACATGTCAAAGTACTGAGGTTTTCTTTGTATTCATTGGATGTGGGCATAACTGGCTAGGCCATCATTTATTGTCCATGCCTAATTGCCCAGAGGGCAGTTAAGAGTCAACCACATTGCTGCGGGTCTGGAGTCTCATGTAGGCCAGACAAGATATGGATGGCAGTTTCCTTCCCTAAAGGACATTCATTGAACCAGATGAGTTTTTCCTGACAGTTGGCAATGGACTCATCGTCATCAATAGACTCCTAATTCCAGATTTTTATTGATTTTAAATTCCACCATCTGCCGTAGTAGGACTCGAACATGGGTCCCCAGAACATTACCTGGGCCTCTGATTAACAGTCCAGCAGTAACAGGCCTAGCAAGATGGTGGCAGAGTAGGTCGCTCCTGTCCATGCTCCTCTGCTTCACCTGTTCTTTCTCCTCCTTTTACCTTTTTTCCTCTTTTTTTTTCATCTCTCCCCTCAGCACCAGAGCCAACAGCAAGCCCTCATGCCCCGGAACACCACGAGCAGTGAGTACTGCAGCAGTGCGTGGGTTGTGAATCCCAGAGCAGTGTGGAGAAGGGCCCTGCAGCAGCATGTGGGGAAGCAGCCCCGGAGCATTGCGCAGGCAGCGAGCGTGAGCTGGTGGCACGAGCGGGAGCAGGAGCCCAAGGTGCAACAATGAGTACGGGAGTAGGCAGCTCAAGGCAGCGATCCAGGAGGATCACCAGGAGGATATTCTATTTATTCTAGTACCACCAGGCCATTACAACTTGATTTTGGATTTTCATCTGAAACTGTCTGTATTGCACTTCATGTACAAAATCAGAAATTGCTGGAAAAAGTCATCAGGTCTGAGTTTTCATCTTCAGATCCAAAACATTCTGAAGAAGCATCATTGGACCTAAAATGTTAATTTTACTTTTTTTCCACAGATGCTGCCAGACCTGCAGAGTTTTTCCAGCAATTTCTAAATTTTGTTTCTGATTTCCAGCATTCACAGTTGTTTGTTTTTTTTTTGTACTTCATGTACCCTGTCTGGAATTAGTCGCATTGTTGTGGGTTGGCTGCATGTTATTGTTAGGGTTGGGTTTGCAGCGCCAATTAACCCTCTATTGGGAACTTGCTTCTAAAAGGGAGTGGTTCTGTATATGAAATATTGATTGCTTTCTCTTGAGTTCTCCACAGCCTGTTGCTGTGGAACACTTAAGAATGCAGATAAAAGGAGACAAGTCAGCATAGACAGATTTTCCTAATTAACTTGCGGGAAGTGAGCAATGCTGGCCGGTCAGCATTTATTGCCCATTCCTAGGCCCTTGATCCCTTTAGCCACAAGAGCATTATCTACCTCGTCCTTCAAAACACACAACATTTTGGCTTCAACCACCTTTCTGTGATAGAAAATTTCACAGGCTTACCACTCTCTGGGTGAAGAAATTTCTCTTCATTTCAGCCCTAATCTGTGACCTCCCCACTATTGGGAATGTCATTCCTGCATCTAACCCATCCAGTCCTGTTAGAATTTAACAGGTTTCCATGAGATTCCGCTGCCCCCACTTCATTCTTCTAAACTTTAGAGAATGACCGACTCCATCTCTCCTCACGTCAATTCTGCACTCCAAGCAAGGACATTCTTCCTCAGATAAGGAGACCAAAACTGCACACAGTATTGCAGGTGTGGCCTCACCAATGCCACGTGTAACTGCAGCAAGATATCCTTGTTCCTGTACTCGAATCTACTGCTATGAACACCAGCAAAGAGTTTGCCTTCTTTACTATCTGCTGCACCTGTGTGTTTACTTTCAGCAACTGGTACATGAGGACACCTACGTCTTATTAAGTGTTCCTCTCTCTAATTTATTCATTTTGTGTGATGTGGGCGTCACTGGCTGGGCCAGCGTTTATTGCCCGTCTCTAGTTGCCCTTGAGAAGGTGGGAGTGAGCAGCCTTCTTGAACTCCTGCAGTCCACTTGCTGTGGGTTGACCCACAATGCCATTAGGGAGGGAATTCCGGGATTTTGACCCAGCAGCAGTGAAGGAACAGCAATATATTTCCAAGTCAGGATGGTGAGTGGTTTGGAGGGGAACTTGAAGGTGGCAGTGTTCCCAAATATCTGCTGCCCTTATCCTTCTAGATTGAAGTGGTTGTGGGTTTGGAAAGTGCTGTCTGAGGATCTTTGGTGAATTTCTGCAGTGCATCTTATGGATAGTACACACTGCTGCTACTGAGTGTCAGTGATGGAGGGTTTGGATGCTTGTGGATGCAGTGCCAAGCAAGCGGGCTGCTTTGTCCTGAATGGTGTCAAGCTTCTTGAGTGTTGTTGGGGCTGCACTCATCCAGGCAAGTGGGGAGTATTCCATCATACTCCTGACTTTTGCCTTGCAAATGGTGGACAGGCTTTGAGGAATCAGGAGGTGAGTTACTCGCTGCAATATTCCTAGCTTCTGACCTGCTCTAGTAGCTACTGTATTTATGTGGTGAGTCCAGTTGAGTTTCTGATCAAGGATAACGCCCAGGGTGTTGATAGTGGGGGAATCAGTGATGTTGAATGCCAAGGGTCGTTGGTTAGATTGCCTCTTATTCGTGATGGTTATAGCCTGGTATTTGTGTTGCGCGAATGTTACTTGCCACTTGTCAGCCCAAGCCTGGATATTGGCCAGATCTTGTTGCATTTGAACATGGACTGCTTCAGTATTTGAGGAGTCATGAATGATGGCTGAACATTGTGCAATCATCAGTGAACATCCCCATTTCTGACCTTATGATGGAGGGAAGATCATCGATGAAGCAACTGAAGATGGTTGGGCCTTGGATGCTACCTTGAGGAACTCCTGCAGAGAGGTGTTGGAGCTGAGATGATTGACTTCCAACAACCATGACCATCTTCCTATGTGCCCAACCACTAGAGAGTTTGCCTCCGATACCCATTGATTTCAGTTTTGCTAGGGCTCCTCGATGCCGCACTCAGTCGAAAGCAGCCTTGATGTTAAGTGTTGTCACTATCACCTCAATTAAAAATAGTTTTTACCACCTTTTTCTCTTCACAAAGTTATTAATGTTTTTATAGCCAGTTTTCACGTTCCCTGCAACTTTGCTCTTATTCTCAATTTTTCCCTTCTTGATCAAACTTCTTGTTCTCTTTTGCTAAATTCTAAAATGCTTCCAATCCTCAGGTGTGCTGCTTTTCCAATTATACATGTTTCCTCTTTGGATCCAATACTATCTTTAATTTCATTTGTGAGCCATAGTTAAGCCTATTTTCCTTTACTTATTTTTGTGCCAGACAGGAATAAGTAATTGCTGTAATTAATGCACACGTTCATTAAATATGAATCATTGTCTATCCACAGTCAACCCCTTTAGTAAGGTTCCACAACTCATTCCTCACATCCTGCTAGTTCCCTGTATTTAGATTCAGGACCCTAGTATTGATTCGCCTACTTTACTCTCCGTCTTAATACAAAATTCTATTATATTATGGTCACTCTTCCCCAAAGGATCCCATACAGCAGTATGAATTAAATTTTTTTCATTGCACAATATAAATCTAGAATAGCCTGTTCTCTGGTTGGTTCCTCAACATATTGGTCTGAAAGAAATCACGTACATACTGCGGGAGATTGTTCTTCACATTGTCAATGCAAAGATCCATGACTCCTGTTGAATCCTTACTGCATGCACCACTGATTTCTTGTGTAACGGCTTCCATTCTATCTCCATGACTGTTTAGGGGTCTACAAATAAACCCAACAATGTTTGCTAACCATTGCTACTTTTTATTTCCATTCCTATAGATTCCACATCATGATTTTCCAAGCCAATATCCTTCCTCACTATTGCATTGATTTACTCCTTTACTAACAATGATATCCCATCTCTTTCCATTTTTGTCTGACCTTCCCAAATAATGAATACTCCTTGATGTTCAGTTTCCATCCTTGTAAAGCCTGCAGCATGTCTCTGTAACTATTGCAACTATATCACAACCATTTATATCTACCTGTGTTGTTAATTCGTTCACCTTATTGTGAATGGTCCACGCATTAAGACACAAAGCCTTTAGATTTGACTTTTTTACCTTGTAAGTCATCTTAGCTTTATTTTTCCCCATGTCCCATTTGTTTCATGTCCTTGTTTTATCTTCGCTTTTGTTTCTTACCCTTCTTCCTTTGTTTCT